CCTATACATCACAAAATTGAATTTGAGTTCTACAGCTGGTGTTGTCAAGCACATTCAAATTTATGATTTCCAGGATGAGTGAGCGCTGCCTGCTCTCAGTAATATTACACAACTTTTACTTGCACAAATAACCTGGGCTTCAACGAGGCTGTTCATGCAAGTAAAAGCTGTGTGAGAAGGGGCTTTCTCCACCACACCCCACACCCCCTCAGTGGTCCACAAGGGCCACAAAAAGCCATTCTAAGTGTGCCCAAGCTTCAGACAACCAGAGATCAATTCCCTCTGTTAGCAAAGTACACTTGCATTGATTTATCACAGAGGAGAGAGGGAGGGGATAGGGGTCAGGTAAGCAGGGGTTTCTTGGGTTTGATTTTATCAATATTGTGTGGTTTTGCAGAGTTGTCTTCTCTACGATCAAATATAAATTCTAGTTTTAATAACTTTGCATAACTCCACAATATTGTAAAAATATCTGCTTACCTGACCCCACATAACTAGGAACTTTTGTTTCTGGTGTGATGTTGCCAGCACAGCGGATGTTAGGAAATCAGTTGGAACAGAAGATCTGAGGTGGGGCTGGATGCTACAAGACAAAAATACTTTGTTCCATTTGCACTAAGTGTTAAACGGGCATATAACCGGGACATTCAACATGCATGTGTAAGTTCACCCAAACCCAAATTTAACAGACCTTATAAACACAGATAAGAGGGTTTAAAAGTGGTTTACAGTTTCACAGTCGTAAAAACCTTTTTTTTTTTTTTTTTTCAGGTAACGATGCACAGCCGTGTGATAAGAGACAAAACACGGGGTGTTTGCCCTCATGTGTCTTCTCCCTGCCTAAAATACTCCTTTTATTTAACACAAACACCGTGGTGTTTCCCCTTCTGTTACCAGAACTTAATCCCCAGCACCACTCATGTTTCAACCTTAAAAGCCTTTACTGTTGTACAAAACAATTCTACAGCCGTGTTAAACTTAAAACCGCAACAGGAGAGGTTCAGACTGGACATAAGGAAAAAAAAACTTCCCAGAAAAGAGTGGAATAGGCTGCCCAGGGAGATGGTGAAGTCGCCATCCTTGGATGTGTTTAAGGGTCGTTTAGCTAAGATACTGGGGGATGTGGGGTAGGGGAGAACTTTGTACAGAGTCAGGCTGATGATCCCAAGGGTCTTTTCCAACCTGAATGATTCTGTGTTTTGTTTTCCGGTGATGCAGGTGGTGGATGTGAATTTTCAGCGCTAGGAATTGTAGCTTAAAGGATTTTCTAGGAGCCACAAGTAGTGCAGCTGTAGGGCACGGCTTTGTTTTAGACACCAGTGGGCACGGTCAGGAAAAACCTCCACCGGCAGCTCTCTGAAAAAGTAAACTGAACTTTGGGAGAGTGAAACTGGTGGAAAATCTACTTTTATAACTCAGAAAGGTATCTCTGAAGCTCAGGAGTGTACACAACGATCGAGTTCCTTTTTGTTTCAAAGCTTGGCTGGGTGGCAGCTGGGCCAGCCGTGGAGTTGTGCTCTGTTCCCACCTCCGTGGGATGGAGAAGCCTCCGTCTTGAGATGGAGAAGCATCTCGTGGGGTGGGACGCCTCACCTGGGACAGAGAAGCCTTTCAGTCCTCAAAGTCTGTAAGTCCTCTGGGCATGCTGGTGCTCCTCCAAACTGTCAGTGTGCCACAGCAGAACTTTCTGTCACCGATACTGCACGTTACAGGTTTTGCTCCTCATTCCATACTGTCACCTGCGTCACGGCCTCCTGTTTTCCTGTCCACTGGCTCTGGTTTTCCCCTCTTCCTCTGCAGCCCGGCACACCGACTCGCTCAGTTCCACCTTCCTTACTCACTGCCTGGTATGCTGCCTTCATCTTTCCACATGCTGTCAGGCTCCTTTCTTACTGCAGTTTCTTTGCTTCTTTCCTAGCAGCTTTAATTCTGACAGTGGCTTCTTGCTTTACTTTTCCCTGCTGCAATATTGGCCCCTAGCCAAAGCAGCAAGGCTGGTAGTGATCTCTGAGTTTCTGTGCAAGGCTGTCACGCTTTTTGTTGCAGTGAAGGGGAATATATGGTCCTTAACAGTTGAAGAAAATAAAAGATCCCGATAATAAACCGGCATGTTACAATTTTAATGGGATAAAATTAAATCACACACCGCACTGGTAACGGATCTGTAGTCATCCAGGTTTAAAATAACTAGATATTATTAGATAGATATTAAAATAACTAGATATTATTGTCCATGGTGTTCACGCTTTACACCTTCTTCAGCATCAATAGTATCAGCTACCTGATATGGCAGGAAAAACACAGGTAGCCCAGACATTTCTGGCTACTCTGAAACATTCATTTGCTAAACAGTAACAGACAGTCTGTGCAAAAAAAAAAAAAACCCCACCTTAATTTGCAGGCTGTTTACCCTTCATGGTTTTGGTGCGCTGTTTTAAAATTATATTGCTATTTTTTAACCTCAAACATGCCAAGCAGCATGGCTTTGGAAAAGTAGTGATGCGTTATGATATGTAGGGGGAATGCACCAACATCCTTCCATCCTGTTGAACTGCTGGAGTTTCCAAGCTTGGTGAATTCCTCGCAGGATGAGCAGGGACATCTGCCAGCCGAGTGCTGAGGCTGTGGAGAACCCGATGGAGAAGGCGAAAGGGAGATCAGGGTGTACAGTGGGAACTGTCCGTCCCCATGTCGGAGCTGGGGTGGCCACTGGCCACGGGCTGGCCAGCAAACCAAACAGCTCCTCCAGTGCGATAGCTCTTTGCACAAGTTCAGCGTTCAGCTTGCTGCGGAATTAATGATTCATTAGGTGACAGTTCTCCCCCTTTCTGCCACGCCCCAGCTGACAGTTTCAGGTGTGTACGATTCATTTCTGTTCTCAGTTCTCCTGGTCTAAACACGGAGCCTGAAACCCGTGGGCTCACTCCAGGGGCAGGCAGGCTGCACAACTACCTGAGAGGGTAGCAAAAAATTCAATTAAACCGTTTGATTCCTTAAATAGAAAAGCATTAAGGCTTTTCCCACCACCATGTAGGTTTGGAGGGGTTTTTTGTTTTGTTAGACCTCATGACTTATTGAAGAAACTTTTAAAAATCTGCAGCCAGCACCCCTTGGTCCTGCCCTGTGACACCCTCGACTGCCAACAGCTTGCCTGTGCCCAACAACTGCAGAAACAGGAGTGCTGTTTTTCCAGGATGAATGAATAATCGGTGTATTTTACAACTAGGAAGCTGTTGTTTCCATCTCTAGCATCCCTCTCTTTGTTAAATCAGTGGCAGCCAGGTTTAATCTGTTGTTGTACTGCTGCTTTTTTCCATGCTTACACTAAGGCTGGGCTGCCCCTGGCTGGTGGAAGCTTTCTAAGCAGCAGTCAAATCAGCGTGGTTTTATCGTGATAATTTCCACCCGGAAATTCAAAAAAACCCACCTTTTTCAGGCCGTGTACATTTTGTTCCAAGCAACCGTAAGGCAGCCAGCGGGGCGCCCGGGTGTTCCTGTGCTGCAGAAGCGGTGGGATTTCACCAGGGAGGGGAAAACACTACCCGGAAGAAACCCAAATGTGTGGAGACGACAGAGAAGATAATGCGACTTACAAATTTTAACTGCTAGCATCATATGAAAACACACAAAAGAACACATTTTTGCTCAGTTGTATTTATTTGAAGGACCTTGTGCTTCTTGTTAACAGTTCAGATGAAAACTCACATGCTTCTAACTGATTTCGAATGCTGGGACAAGATAATTCAATTAAACAGAATTTTAAAAGCCCTGCCCACGCATTAGATACGTAAAAGCCAACGTTCAGGTCTAACGTGCAGGTTACCTGGTCTGTCGGCGAGGGCAGGCTCCTGACAAACGCCGAGGACGGCACCGCGCGCTGCAGGCCCGCAGCGAGGCACAGCACAGGGATCCCTCCCGGGCCCAGCCCCGCGCTGCCGTACCGCGTGTGCCAGGGCAGAACTCCAGGGACTGGGACGACCACAGCACCTCTGTCAGGTTCCTGTTACTCTGTGGAAGAGGTAGCGTGGGACTCTCTGCTAGGGGTAGCATCTTTCAGTGGTTTCTTGTTTTCGAGATACTATAAACAGTATTTCATTTTCTTTTAATTATTCAATCCTTAATACCTCCCATCAGTCCGATCCTCGTTTCTGTCTAGGAACCAATTTTAAATGAAGATGAGATCATACCGCGGACCAGATCCAAAGACCATTAACGTTCATGAGAATCCTTCAACTGAGCAGTTGGCTGAAAGTATTTTACTTCTCGATGGAATAGTGAGATACTGTATGTATTTATGTACTTCTGAGCTGCAGCTATTTAAGAGTAGATAGATTTAAAAATAAACACCATTCATTTCACAGACCAGATGCATCTCCTTCTTCAGAATCTCATTAATTTTTACTAAAAATGCTAACACGTGAAGCTGCTGCCAAAAGCTATCCGCAAACAATAAAAATACCACAACGCTCTGAACGGTTTTCTAAGTGACTCTTCTGAGCCTTTTTTTTTTTTTTCCAATCTGGAGTGCAGAATACAAAGAGACTTAAAAGACTTTTAAACGGTTTGTAGTTTTTTTCATTTATTGTAGAAAAGTTATTGTAATGCAGTTCATTTTTGTACATCTAAATTCCATAAAACAAGTCCATAGAAATGAGGATACTATCAGCATGCAGTCTGCATTTTCTTTTTAAATGATTCTGATCACAAAAATAACAACACTTTTTTTTTTTTTTCCTTTGAAAGCCACTAAAAGCAGAGGGAGAGCAAAGCATGCAACACTGTACACATTTGCATAGTATATTTTACCCAGCATGCCTTGTAGAATGCTACACATACAGTATCTATAGAAGTAGAAACAGAAAGGGGCAAATCAGCAGAAAACACAAATTTGGGGGAATTTTATTTTTTTTTAGTAAAGGCAGTAATGTCTTTACCAGCGTGATTCTGAACTGGCTCCCAGTGAGGCTGGGGGTAACACTGCCAGGCTATCACTGGGAACCAGTTTGGGTGAGAAACAGAGTTTTTCAGGGATCTGAGAAGCCCAAGGTCCATAGTTTGCAGTTTGAATGACCGTTTTCATCTTCTTTCTTCTCCCCTCTATTTCTCACGCATACGTAACATTTGCATTTTGCTTGATTCTCTTCCTATGCTGTTCTTGTACAACCTCTCCCCGACTTTCTCTGCACAGAAAAGAACCGGGTGGGTTTCAAACATAAATACACCTTGGGCCTAATCAGCCCACGTTCCTTAAGCTGACTTCCCTTCACGCTGTAAATTCCCAGCAGCATCGGTGGAAGTTTGGGGTGTCACGTCCTTCTCTCCTCACCTCCCCGTCCCCACACACGACAGCAAGGAGCTCCGTACCCCTAAGAACTTACTAACCAGGAGTATTTCATTCCTGACCTTGGGCTACTGGTGTTTTCACGATGTAGTCATCAGTCGTACGCCAAAATGTATATATTGGCCAAAATTAGAAGTTATTAATGTAATTTCAGGTTTGAAGAGGAAATTAGCAGAAATGAACGCAGCGGACTTTCTCATTTTGAAAGGTTCTTTTTGTTTTCATTAATTAATATGGAAGGAATACAAGATAGTGAAAAAAACCAATCACATAGGCAAAATGCAAAGCTTAGAAATAAACTGAAGTATCAGCAAGTTAAACTGATCGAAAATGCAATAAATCCACTGATGCGGGATCAAAAAATCTACCCTTTGTTTGTTTTCAAAAATACAATGCCAAATGCCATCGTGGAATCACTGTAAATTTGTGCTATTACAAATGTGCTTCTTCTTCCTTGCTCTGTTTTTACATCATTGGCAAAATATATTATTCTGTACTGTACAATATATTTTCTCACTATAGTGATTTTTTACTGCTTATACAGAGTAGAAGGAATATCAAAGGGGGTTGTGGCATTAAATTTAATTACATTTTATTTTTCAGGACGTATTGATAAGGCATATGATAATCAGGGTGTGACGTTTCTGGTCAGACCTCACGGCTACTGCCTTTTGGAGAAGGCAAGAATAAACGCTGTGCCCAGGAGTAGGTGTCTGTAGGATCTAGTCCAGGTAGTAACTCACTGCCAAGAAACGTGAGGGGAAAAGGGGAGTCTACTGAGCAGCACTGAGACCAAGGCGAAGCTGCTCCCGGTGTCACCACCTTCAGAGGACTCACGGAATGACACGCTCTCACGAGCAGTTTAAAGTGATTTCTACCTTCTCCCCAGATTCTCTACGAGGATTTAATTGTACGATATTTCTCTTGACTTCTTAAACGGATTCCACAAAGAATGAAAGAGATCTTAACACAAATTTCAATACTAAGTAGCATTTTCAGCTCTTTCTCCAAGTTAATTCCTTGCATATATTTTACAACATTATTAAAATGTCTCTTTTTAAAGACGTGCCTTTATTTTTCTATATAAAATAAATCAGATTTGAGTAACAATCTAACAAAGGTTATGCAAACGATGACTCTTCAAATAACACCTCTTTTGGCATCATTTTAAAGATAGTGGGAACTTAATTCCCCCAGAGTTAAAACTGGCTACGTTACAATATCTTGCAGTCATGTTACTCTCTGTCAAACTACTATTTGAAGGAACGAGGAGTAACTGCAATAAAACATGACAGCAGAACCCCAACTATCCAAACCTGGATTAATACCAACTGGGGTATATACCAACCAATTTTAAAATACACATTTTTAGGAGTGAAAACAGTTTTGTATAAATGGCATTTTACAAAATACGCATTTGATTTTTTTTTTTCTTTTGTGGCATCTGAATTATTTTTTTTTTAAGCAAAAATAATAAGACCTTGGCATCAAGGAGAGGCTTCAGAAGCACAGAACTTGGAAAACAAAATCTAGCAGAGGATACATTTAATATGTTCTTGAAGAAAAAAATGACTAATGAAAGCCCTAACTCACCCAAATCAGTGACAGGATTAGCAATATTACTTTAAGAATGGTAATGTCAGTAAAGGTAGGAGATCTTGGGATGTTTCAGAGAAGTCTACGGTACTAAGACTGAAGTGAATTCAGGAGATTTGCAGTCAAACTGAACTTGAAGTTATGGGCCTACGCACATCCAGAGGAACTACCACCATCTTGTTACTCCTACAGCTACCTTGCCTCCTTTTTGTAATTTTCACTCTCTTAAGTACATATAAAACTTTGTTTTAAAAGCAAGGAGCACAAAAGATGAAACCCCCTGACGTCAACTTCAGAAGCAGCTTTCAAACCTGAAGAAAAACCCCACAAAGTGTTTTTCTATTTGGGGCAAACCCGTCCCAGCGCCGCCTCCGATCCCCCGCGCGCTTACGGCACCGGGGCCCGTCCCAGCTCAGTCAGAAGGACACAGCTGGGGGAGCAGCGAGGGACACTGCGAGTAGCAAGAGGTGACGGCGCTGCCTTTGGAAGCTGCTTTGCTCAAGGACAAAACGGGGGGGGCACCCGATTTCTGTGGCAAGATGGTAAAATTGAGGTGTCGGGCCGTACTGCACTATCCATTCTCAAGCAGAGGAACTGATTTTCACCAGGCTGACTTAGAAAATGACCATCTAATTTGGCCCATTGTTTATGAGCTAAAATTTCATAAAGAGCAGCTAAAAAAAACTGGCTGTGGAACAGCTTTAGTTGCATTCCTTTAAACATAATTTCAGAATGTAACTCAGAAAACATCACCAGTTGTGAGTTGCACATCCCATGGGATAAATATTCATCTGTGGAACTGGTACATCTGTTAAATACAACTTGCCAAAGTATTTGAGATTGAAATGTAACAATTTTCATTAAAGTGGCTTGAAGATTTTTAAAATACTTTGTTAATTCACTCACAAACATATGAATGCACTGACATATATTGTCTTTAGATATTGAGATCGTTCTTATCACCTTTATTGGCTAAATTGTCATTAATCCGTAAGTGTCCTCATGAAAAACTCAGATAACAACAAAAAAACCCACTTAAAAAAAATATCAATGTTTTATAAACATTTCTAAACTCCTCTGAATAAGCCAGAGCTTAGGAACAAAACTCTGATCTTTAATAATATTTTAATAACAAGAAGAAATGGTGCGAGGACTGGGAAATTCATCTTACTCGTATTCATTCAGGAATACATGAACTTCACAATTTTATATAACGCCATTGCATAATAAATCACAATACAGCTGGCTAGCAGTGCTGAAGTTCTAATACAAATACTATGAGTTAACATGTCCTGATTGACAACGCAGATTACTGTGTTTCCTAAAAATAATTTACTTTTTAAAATAAAGACTTCCCATAGCTTGTATCTAGAATAAATTAATCATCTATTAGCACGTTCGGTATATCTGTACTTAAAGATAGATCTATCTTCAAAGAATAAAAAACCAGCAAGCAAGGAGATCTGCTGGATCACTTATAACTGGTTCCTTACATGAAAATGGAATGGGCAGTGAGAGAGGAAAGGGTAAACTAATTATGCAGGAAAGTAAACTTAAACCCACATAATAAAGGAACTCAATGGGTTCTTTCAAGACAATACAGGACTTCCCTCACAAGCTTGTTTTTATTAGAACAAAGAAAGTAGTTTTGGCACTTCAGATGCGGCAGGTGATGGAATTTGTGCACGTGTGGTGTGTAGATCCTTCCGTTCACTAGCATGACATGGAAGACTTCAAAACAAGGCTCCAAAAGGCTCTAGAAATAAATGGCATTTTCGTCTAGGAGATGATAAAGCAGTAACCTTGTTTACTAGAAAATATATGTAGGTGCTTCGCAGCTACCTGCCATTAAGATGCAAATATCTTCAAGCAGTTAAATGATCTGATCCCTAATGCTACTACAGAATAAAGATAAACAGCTGTCTAATCTAGGTTTATACATCTCGGTGCATCCTTTGCAATTAATACTTTAATGCACACAAACAAGAAACTTATTAAAGCTTATAGAAAAAACGTTTTGCCTAACGCCTTCTTTCTCATGCAGGTATGTGTGCTGTACACGTAACAAAGGTTTGTAAAAATTCCTGGAGAATGCTCCACTGTGCTATAGCAGAAAACATGAGAGAAGGCAGCTGAAGCCACCGCTCCCAGACCAGATCTTGCCGTGCTCGCTCAGCCTAAATGCTCTTTTGGAATCTGCAGGCGTTCAGCCTGAGAAAGTCAGACAGGATCAGGTCTGTCATATCATTAACTCTGTTACTCCAATGGATGCTGATAATTTGCTTTTTTTCTTAGTAACTGGCCCATCCGAATCATCTAGTGGTGTCGAAGCCTGCCTTGTAGGCAGCGAAGCTGTTTACAAAATTAATCATGCATTCGCAATCTTTTAATGCTGCGAGAGACGTACATCGTTTTTGGTTGTACCAGATATGAGATGAATTACTTTTCTTGTTGTTAACATCAAGAAGATAACCAGACTCAACGGTGGTGGAAAATACCAGTGATCTTTGCTAACTGGTCCAGAAAGAAGAAGAAACCATAATATTCAGGAAATTCATTTAGTGCTACATGCTTTTAACGCCTACTTTTAGCAGGCTCAGGGAAGAAAATAAGCAAATATAAAAGTTAACGATCCTAATCTTTGAAAAAATAGTTTTGACATGAACCTGCATAAAAAAACACGTGTTCAGCATAGTTCTGTCAATTTTAGAAAACGCATGCAGTGGGGAAATTCAGGAGTCTCTGCTTCAAGACATTATGGGCTGTACAAAGCGGTCAATTATGGGAAATTTTTCAATCACATTAGATCTAAGGCTTCACTGATCATGTAAGACATAAGGTCCGATCACATAAATTTATCTAGTTAAAGAAACTGAAGACTCAGTAGGTGTAAGGAAGTGATTGTTAGGAAGTAAGGCAGCAGTTTCTCCGAAGATTTATCATAGTTCTCTGAATCAGAAATCTCAGCTCCACAACTTCACTGTGAGCAGAGGTTTTTTTTTCTGATACTCCATTTTTATTGCAAGCTAATTCTGACCCATATGTGATTTTAAATGTTGATCATTTACAAATACTTAACCCCGCTCCCTCCCCTCAGATTTCATTACTGAAATTTCAACTGATCTTCTGGAGAGTTCTTGTGCGAAGCTGGAATTTTCAGACATTCAAAGATGGATTTTAAAAGATGGAACATACCAGTAGGTACTCAGATGTACGGGAATGAAGGTGTCCTACCCACTGGGTAAGAGTGTATTGTTTTCCATTTAAAAAGGCAGAATACTAAAAATGGGAGAAAAAATATTACGTATCTATACACTGATGTTCCATTTTGGGACTACTAGCTGTATTCAGAGAGAAAAAAAAAAAAAAGAGACTATCCCCAACCTCTAGCCATACAAACTGTTCTTAAGTTTGTTCATTTTCCTGTTTTTCTCTCCCCTTATCCTGTCATAGTTCATCATTGCTGACCGCAACAAAAATGTCAGTACTGGCTAAACTAAAGAAATCATTTTGCTGCAACATTCATGCCAGGTCTAAAAATAATTTCAAACTGGAAAGTATTTTGTAACTGCTGCAATAATTTGTGATATTTGGCACTCTCGATAGTTTACATTTGGTTTGTCTGAAAAAGCCATTCTGGAAATAAATAGTTAGAATAAATCCTTTTATTCTAACTTTAAATGTAAATTGAGCTTCCAGCAAACAAATACTGTAGCTGACTTTCTGGCTTCTAGTGGTTTGTAATTTTCAGATTTTTCATTTGTATTTTTTTTTTCAATTGATTGCAACATGCTCAAGTCGACTTTCCAGTCAATTCACCCAAATTCCAACAGGAATTGGTTTATAAAGTGGTTCCAACTGGAACTGGTCATTTGGAATTTCCAGCACAGGAAATTATTTTATAAGTGCCTTGATAAGTACCCTAAATTACAAACGGATGTGTCTGATACCTAATGACAAGAAAAAGTATGGTTATAAATGCAAATGCTGTACTAAAAAGAAAAAAATCCAAAACACAACCTATATGATTGGGCATAAACGTAAGGGCATGGTAACTTTTTTTTGCCCCCTACTTAACATCAAATGACAGCAGAGTGCAACTTCAGTATCACTGCGTTACATCTGCCAAATTAAGATGATTTTTGTTTTTTTCCTAGCTACGTTATGGCAAGTTATCAACTGATGAATCCTATTTTTCCCCAGGTTCTTGAACTCAAAGCCTATGTCGTGAGTCATGGCTATATCCTCCAGGGGATCCTCGGTTCCTATGGGGTTTGTAAGTGTCCTGGTATGAGTCAGAGTATTCTTCTTCCACTAGAGGATAGTGATCTCGGCTGTGTTGGGAACTGGAAGACAAGCGGTTCCTGCTCTTCCGAGCCCTTTCATTGTGATAATTTTCATCTGAGGTCATTAGACTTCGTCGCTCAATTGGAGAGTTCTCTGTAGAATGGCTGCTGTGCCTCATACGCTGGCTCTACGAGGGCCAAAGAATCCAAGCATTAATACAGGCAAAGAGGATTTGACATTTTTTAGCTTGTTTTGAGACTTATTCTGAGGTCTCTCAGAATCCATCCACTTTTGTGTTATTCATTTTAAATTAAAGTCTGTACGCTACAGGAATGGGTTAGAGGAATAGTCTGGTTCCTAGAGCTGAAAGCAGACCAAAGGCGGGATTACAACATGTACCTCGTGGTATTCACCTTGTTCAATATTACAGGCCCCTTAGCATGAAAAGTGAGCTGATGTATTCAGCATTTATCACTTTTCTCTGATCATGAACATAACATTCATGCTTCTACTCTGCTTAGAAAATTTTCAGCACTGATTTATGTGGTTTTAGAAAACATCTGAAGACACTGGGGGTTTGTTAGGGGGTTTATTTAAAAGGTGCAGCCCTGAACCCTATTTAAAAACCTTCATGTGACCAAAGAGAGGATGGACTGCTAAACAGGCAGCTAAGGGCTGGCTAAAATGATTAGGTATTAACAAATTCTTCCAACTAAACCGTAATATTGACAGAAAATCCTTTTCTATGGTAATTTATTCATTAAAAGGTTCAGCCTTTGCTATCCTCACGTTCCCATAATGACAATTTGTCACGTGAACAAAATTAGTTCACATTTTTGTGCCAGTGTACAGGTAAACGAGGAAACAGCCTAAAAAAATTATTGTTTGCTGTCATCACACATTAAACCTCTCAAGAGTACAAGCCACCCATACTCTGAGAACCAACTCGGTGAATCCTTTCCCTCCTCCAGATTGCAAACCCAGCGTCGCTCTTCCTGTAAGGGCCAGGAGCGCGCTGCCGCGCGCAGACAGCACCGCCTGCTCCTCTCAGCCCCAAAATCCCGGCCGATGCACCCTCTCTGCTAGCAAACCTTCCTCCTGCTGCAGCACCCTCTCTGCACGGCAACTGTGGAGTTGCATCGTTTGTAACAAGAGGCTTGTCTGCCCGGGAAGGACCTGCCCAGACGGGTACAGACGGTCACAGCACAGCAGGTAGGATGTCGCGTCTCCTGCTGCGGATCGATGCTACCAAGGTTAATCGCCACAGAAGAGGGGCCCTCCTGCCAAGTCACCCCCCCAGCAACTTCTACCACATTATCCCCAAGGAGCATCGTGTTTTAGAGTGATCGTATGTCAGAGATTTTCTTCACGAATTATATTTATTTGACCTAGGTACGCAATTTTTATATACAATCACTCAATCAACCGCAACTTTAACTTTCTGTGCTTATCCTCTGTCTCCCCTGTAGTTATTTACCTCGCTGGCTGCAACCTGATCCTTTCTAGAAACCTTCCCGTTTCCCCACCTCACCTGTGTAGTCATTCTGATCCCACTATTGACCCCCCAGAGGTGTAAGGTGGCACAACACTGGTTACATGCTGGTCTGATGCCCCAAATAACTTTTGATCCCACAGCACAATTGGAACGATAAGCTGCACTATGTTTTCTGCAGTAATGGACTTAAAATGCAAATCCCCTGGAGCCTGAGAAGCACATTGAACTTGAACTATAAGTCCATTCACTGAAATCAGACTGAACTGTCGGTTTAGAGCTAGCCAGCGATTAGCCACAAAGGCAAATGACTGGCCCCCAGGAGTCAGCAATGACAAAATTTACTCCTCCTATTGAGGGCTGCAGACACACAGAGCTCAGCATTAGCATCTTCCCCTTTCAGGCAAGGTCACGACAAGGACCCAACAGCCACTGGCTCTGGGGGGATTCCACCCACAGTGTGACAGCACAGAGCTGGAGCATGCTGTCCCCTGTGCCCTCTCTTTGACTCTCCTGTCTCTGCCATTTAACTTCATCCCGGTGACTTTCATGAAGCCCAACAGTTAAATCAGAAGTGTCAAGTCTCTGTAAACTAAAGTCCAAGCCACAAGCCAATAAAAAAGGGCCACTCCTCAGTCCTGATTGGGTGAAGTACGTACAGATTGTCCCAGCAAATCTCTATCATCCTCAGCTGTGACTGTTACTCGAGGCTCTGGGCTTTTGCTATTCAGTTCCCTGAGATAGCAGGTGAGGAGAAGTCATGAGGTCGTAAGTAGCATAAAATCTTAACATATCGTAAGCACCTATGCTAGTTTAATTCCTAGGATTCGCATGGACACTTTATAATTACCATATCATTACAGTTAAAACTGATGCAAATCCTTCCAAAGGCTTGAATGAGTACAAAACCTCTAGGTGGATAAGCACTTCAGACAATGCAAATCCTTACTGCGAGATAACCAGGTAGAATATCAGAACTCTTTAATGGGCCTGAACCCTTGGGTGGCACTGCAAGGCCAATCCTGCCCTCTCTACTTGGGCGTCATTCGCTCCGGGAGAAATTTACCCCTCTGCAGAGAACTAGCACCATTCAAGTCCCACCTAAGCCTTCACAATTAGGGTGAAGTGGGGATTAAGTGATGCATACCTTCAGCCAGCCCACTGCACAGGGGTGATTTTCATCTTCAGTGTGAGTTTTCCCTAAGTAAATGGAGCAACATTTCACAGTTACTGCTGGTGTCCATTGATCAGAGAGAAATAAATGCCTGAAAAAAATTCTGTGGATACACCCAGTTTTCAAAATGAAACCGAAGAGGTGAAAGTTCTGCAGATGGTATTTTATTGTCATGAAGGGATGGAGAACTGAAATTTTAAGGCAAGTGAAAATGGAAACAACAGTTTACATGTGCATGTTATTAGTAAAAGAACAGTGCTTGTGCATTCAGCCAGTCAGGAAACAGTGACTTACTGATCCTAGTAAAATCAAGCACAGCATTAGAAACGTGAGTCTCGAGTCTCATGCACCCTCAGTGAAGTGCAATTCTCTCACAGAAAAAACAGCTTTACGTTAATTGAAAACACCGAGCAATGCATCATTTCCTTCAAAATTGTTACCTGCTTCCAGATAGTCTACAAGCAGAACAGAGGTTAAATTTGTCAGGTGAATTATTCATTAAATGTAATTTGCTCAACTCTACTTTTGACATACATTAGAAAGTGCACACTCCTAAGTCACACACATACAGAACTCCTTCTGACTTTCAGACTTAAAAGTTCGCTGCAATCCTGATCTTCTCAAGCATTCATAACTATGAATCAAAAACATTTTTTTCTGTTTTCAAACTTAGTAAAGCACGTACTTCTCATTAAGGACTATTTACATGCCACGTTTGAAGTTTCAAAGTTCAGCCGTTTTTGAGCTATCCCTGTGGAAAAAAAGGGTCAGAATTTTTTTTCAATGGGTAAAAAAAAGAAAGTATTTTATTCACACTCAAAGAACTCAAAAAGGTGAAGGCATTTTGCTGATACAAGAGACAACATGGAAGTTTTTTCACCCCAAAGTGACTGTTTTGTGAAGTTATGAGGGTAGAAATAAAAGGGAGCATTACAGACACTGTTCTGCGTTCTGCAATAGCTGTTAGCCCAACTGCTGGGACACACCGTGCCTCTTACTCTCAATCTGACAGGGTCTCACTTCCAATGACATTTTTTCCAGATTAAAAAAAGGCCAGTTTCTAATGTGGCTGTAATGCCACTTGACAGAGCGTCATTTAACTCCTCCTCAAGAACTCGCTCCTTGCCAGAAAATTTATGGCCATTTTATTTCCCGTTAAAGCCAGAGCCGTCACGGTGCTTCAGCACTCGGCTGACCAACTGCTTCCTCCCCGGCCACGGCCCTTGGCTTGCCCTCTAACTGCTGCCAGTGGCCACACGCTGAACAATAACTAACAAAGCAAATATAGGTCACACTATATTAAATGCATTACGCTGTCTCCCCGTAAATTAAACAACCCCACCTGATCTGTACTGGTGTTTGGGGCTGGAAGGTATTCTCATACCTGTAATCCAGAGATTGCAGCAGGATATGGTGAAAGTGCAGTGGATCCTAAATTTCGCCCAAGGAGAGGAGTCATGGGTGTGCTACTGGTGGTGTGAGTAGCACGCCAGTAGGCCTCGAGATATTCTGCCAAGTGCTCGCAAGCGTCTTCAAGCTGATTCTCATCCAAAATGACATCAAACATTTCCTGATCGCAACAAAGTACGGTTCATTACAATGTTACAGATGACAAGAAAGAGAGGTTAAAACATTCTCATCACGCTAATCCTTTAAAAGTAAGAATCAGAGCATGGGATTGCACAAACGGTGTAAGTGGGTTTAAAAGGTGACCAAAAGCCAAAGCTCTCAGAAGTCCCTGTACCCTTCCAGCAAGGCTCACGGGACGCTGCGTGAGCCCTACCCCACTCAAAGGTGCCAACTCCTTTAATGGATTTATTTTGCTCTAAGATAGGAAGGGAAGCTCGGGGTGCTCTGCATCGGTCTGGACCCCAGGGCTCCCTCACAGACCTCTCTCATCCTACTCATGAAGGCATTTCCAGAGCGACGATGCCCCTAAACCCATTTCCACTGCAGTGAAGGCAGCACACAGTTCTGTTGGCAGCAGTATTTCTGCTTCAGCAGGGCTCCCGCAGGACATCCGCCCATTCAGATGCTCTCAGCTGGGAATTCTTCCCAGACACACGCTCTTTTTTAACTGCCTTCACTCGTGCTAGTCTTACCCAGCTGTTCTCAAATCTGCAGGACCACGCAGGCAGAGCCTTTTCCCTACTAAGCCCTACCAAGGCTAGGTTGGACGGGGCTTTGGGCAACCTGGGCTAGTGAAAAGTGTCCCTGCCCGGGGGGCTGGAACTAGATGATCTTTAAGGTCCCTTCCTACCCAAACCAGTCTGGGATTCTGACCTGTTTACCAGGGGCCAGTACCTGGCCATGAGCACAAGTCCTGGCGTTTGCCTTGGACCAGCGCAGCACAGGAGCCACAGAGAGGCCATTTACCAGTGGGCATGGAAGGAATTTAAAGCCATGTGGCTTCTGTGCCACCCAAGAAGTCAAAGAGACACTCTGCACACGTTGTTTTTAGATTATCAGCATGAGAAGTGCTGATAACAGACACCTGATAATAAACCATTGTAAACTGAGTCCCTCAAGTAAAACAAGAACGTATTTTCAGCAGTGAAATTTCGTACCTCAAATTTAATCTTAACTCACACCTCAGTGGAAAAAAAAATTGTGAAAACAGCACAGGCAATGAAAAATAAGTGCAGAACGTTGCAGGTGTTAAGAGCAGCCGATACAAACCACAGGCTGCTTTTCCTCATGCGTATTTATAGCTCCATCCAATACACACAGAGCTGACATCTCTAGAGCAAGACATAAAACTACACAATGAACTTATCATGAAACTTGATCACACATCTACCTTCTGCCCAGAAGTCTGGTCCAGAACTTACTTTAATACTAAAAGAAATTTAATTGTTTTTTAATTAATTCTCTCTTATCAGCATGGTAGAGAAATGTCTCCTCCTCTGCCAGCAAGTATGGAGTTTTCTTCTAACAGTACTACTCCCAACACTACAGCCTTTGGTGAATTCAGTGCTTACTGCTGCTTGGTTTGCTCCTCTATTTATCTATACCCTTTACACCCTCCTTTGCTATTTAAACACACGTTGATATGTTACATATTCTATTGCATCACTCACACCATCATTTGTGGAAGAAGTCGGTAATTCAAACATAGTTAAGTTGGGAAATAAAAGAATGTGTTTTGCTTACACGTACTTTGCTTTGCAAAATACCAAGCGTAAAATATTACACTTGGAATATAACGTGTGTTTTCTTACATAAAGAATGAATATTATCATTTTGTGGCCTGAGATGAGCAAGCAGTTTTCCTGCACTGCTCATTCTCTGCATAGCTGGCTGCTGATCTGAGGGCAACTCTGGCTCTCTCTACAAACCCCAGCTTTGCTGGCTGCCAGGTAAGCTTGCCTCAAGACGACTTTCCAGCTGTGTGGGGTTTTAGCAGCAAGCAGGTCAGTGAATACTCTTCCATCACCCTCCAACCTCCTCCTGCTGAACTAGGGAACTGGTTCTCAAGTTTCTTTTTAACCTGGATCAGTTGATTCAGGGAGCTGCAAGGTGGAGGTAGGACAGAGATCAGAGATGGGAGCGCCCGTAGTGCTAATTCTGCAGCTAACAGACCTAAACCACCCCGTTCTGTGACAGTACGTAGCTTTGACAGTGATCTCAATTAAACTGAATTTAGGGAAGAACAACTTTTAATGGTTGCAGTCGAACTGTCACCTTTTTCACAGTGGACTTTACAGGGAAAATAAATTGCAGAGAAAGCACTCAGGTTTTTTCTTGCATTTAACAGTTGCGCTCATAGTTAGACTGTCTTTGTTCTATGGAGGGAAGAATCTTTGAAGGAGATCCTTGTTTGTAGGGGTCATGGAGTAAAGCAGTTTCTTCCCAGTTCTCCTTATGATGCATTTTATTCACCGCAGTATTTTCTTACAACATGCATAAAACAATTATCATATGAGAATTTTCGTATGCTAGTGTTTCTTAAGTGATGTATTAATTATATCACTTATTCTGAAGTGATTATATCACTTTCTTAAGCAATACATTAAAGCAATGGACTTTCCTGAAGAGAACATAAAGTTAGTTGCCACTGTCCTCTGCTACTTCTTTTGCTTTACCATATAACCCCTGTGAAATATTCTTGATGCATTGCCCCACGTTAGCAACACGAAATAAAACGGATGTGACTACAGGGACATCCTCCTCACCCTCCAGAGAGGGAACATACGAGAGACTGAGCCTCAGGCAGAGCCCAGAGTTAGGACAGCTAAGGGCAAGCCCAAACTGCATCTTAACTCAGAGGCTGGGGAAGGTGAGCTCACGCTCTGGGGGAAAAGATGCCCCAGACAGAACTGCAAGGATGGAGCAAGAACTGAGACGGAGGAGGAAGCTGAACTTGTAGATGTATCTGGTGTGCTGGCTATTTTTTATTAGACTACCGCATTTTAGTCCCGCTAGAGTAGAATTTCTGGTGGTTTTTAGGTCATATCAAGTAGACCAGAGGGATATGAACCCTCTCTTAGCACTGGCATAAATCCAAAAGTTAAAAAAAATAATCATAATGAACTGTATGAGACTAGTGTATTTAAAGCTCTATGGTTAGTACAGTTCACGTTTCTCTGAGCCATATAAATGTTCCTGCTTAACAAAGTCATGAAGCGATAGGCACGCTTAGCCCTGGCTTGAGCAGCATCAGTGAAAGATTAGCAGGGAATTAATAATGAAAGCGGTTCCTGAACTTAAATACGCCAAAAAAGACAGCTATTTTTAAAATGTCTAGACATGCAGCACCGTCTGATTACTTAAGGCTGGCTCTTGGCAAATGAAAAGAAAGTGAGGCTTTTACGGTTTTCAAGTATCTTCACTTAAAACAAATACTCCTCTTGCAGGAATTCGAGCTGCAAAACAGATGAAGCAGGTCACGGTGCAGAAAACAGCCAGCAGTGTCGTTGGTCTTGGCAGTATACTCTTACTTAATTAAATCATGGATCAGCTTGGTCCTTGAATTTAAACTTAACCAAGACTATCATCTCCCTTCAAGCACTCTAAGTCAGCAGTAACTTTCTCAAAACCAAACAGTGCAAAACTGACCAGATGGTTTCTGCAGGAGGCTGCTGTGCGACTCAGAGTGGAAGGCAGCCTCTGAGCAAGGTACGTGTTTCAGATCTGGATGCTCTGAAATTTGAAAATAGGGTTTTTTTAATCCAGGTGGGGGTCTCACTTTGTTGCCTTAGGCAAAAAATTACAATTACAGGATTGGGTGTTAAGGCAGTTTACCAGGTTCTGGGGATGGCCAATCCAGGATGCAAGGAATGAGCTACAACAGGCAGCCTGCTGCTGCACGCTGTTTATTGCAACCAACACAGCTACTTGCCTCGTTCCAACCAATGTGAGCAAACCAAAGTGGAGTAAGAGGAAATCACTGTATAAACAGCAAATAAGGCTGTGAAACATGCACGGGCTTCTCTGTGCAGGTGGAAAAATAAATACACCTTTCCACTGTGAAGAATGAGTAGCCGATTGTTCTGTGTGTAAGCTCAGTGTAAATACCACAAGCTGTATTCAAACAGGGGCAGGTGCAACTCCACTTAACTTGGCTCCCGCCCATTAAGCTTTAGGAAGGTATATGCTTTTACATAAATTATTTTGTACTGCAGAAAAGCCCACAATTTTTAGTTAATGGGACCTGAGTGGCTCCCAGGAATTCTCTGTCATCATTTTAAGAGATAACAATTCAGTAGAAAATTACACGTGAGAAACGTAATATAGCTGAGCTCTCAGAAGAGCTCGAGATGGCCTGAACAGCTTCAGTGCTGCTCCAAGTGGAAAACAAGGACCTACAGTTACTGCACCCTGAAGCTTATGGCTCTCTGCAGTCAGGCAAAGAGCTGGATGATACGTGGTCGCCAGCTGCTGCGTCCACAGCAGGACGGTGCTGATGGGGCAGGAGGGTGGCTGTGAAACCCAAACCTGCCAGGGAACAGCTGGGCAGAGCAGGCACTGCAAAAAGGGCTCTGAACTGGAGAAATGGAGAAACAGCCACCACATATGCACACGCCACCACCAGCCCTTCGCTGGATTATTTAAATTCTTGCTCTGCATCAAGGGTAGGAGGAATTTATATCAGATCTCTCACTCCGGACACATTCTTAAAGCATTTTGCTTTTAGATAAGGAGGAGAGAAATTTCAGTCAAGCCTATTACCTTTTTTCCCTGCTTTCTAACATTTCAGTGTGAATCTAGTCTGAACATACACCAAAAAACTCCAAAAACCCTGTCAAAATTCAAAGTTTTCACTAATTACTCATTTTGTATCTGGCTGAAACTACTGAGCAAATGGAACCTGACCTCACTAGCAGTGTCAGTCAGCCTGAAACCGTGTTTTCAGAAAGTTGATCCATACACAAAGAATCACCCCACTCCCTTGCTAAGCCAAGGCAGAATTGTTGGGCAGATCCGAGGCCTCAAAGGTCTCTTCCAGGCAGACAAGGGCGAGCGCCCCAGTGCAGCAGAAGCTGGCAGTCTCCACCCGTTAGCCAGCGTTTAGGCACGGTCTGCCTGATGGCAGGAGCCTTAAGTCAACCAGTGGGCAAGAGGAGAGAGGAAGGGAAAGCTCTCTCCAGGTCTCCCTTTCTGCTGGAGAGTGCCACCATTCCCACCAACAGCAGCTCTGGGACATCGGAGGGGCACGAGAGCACCGGCCTAAAGGAAACGTGGCTCAGCCTCAATTCCTACCAAGGGCAACAGTTAAAAAGCAACATGTATCCCTATAATTTGGGAGGAGTGCCCAGAAATACCTGAATCATCTTTTTATGGCCAGTGGGGATGAAAGAGGAGGAGGCTGTGAGGTCTGGTATCTTAAGAAGCATACAAACCCAAATTTCATGGAAATAAATCCTTGGGGATCATTACTCCAGTATAAAAGCTGCTTGGACTTTGTTGCTTTCATTTGAATTGAGAATAAAAAGCCATCCAAAATGGAGGCAACCTCTTTAAGGTCTACACAGCACAAGGCAAAGTCTTCAGGGAGCATTATTTGACCATGAGGGTCGGGCATTTGTTCTGCTTGATCTCGTGGAAACCTTTCCAGTGTCTAGTTTGAATTTTTCTGAATTTATCTGATTTCAACTCCCAGATTTGTTCCTAGATTGTTCCAAGACATTTTTTTTTGTCAGCACTTTGCCTATTTTAAGTCAGTGAGCATGATCATGGAAAACTTTCTGGTGTCCAGGTTGAATTTCTCTAAATTAATCTGATTTCTACTCCCAGTTCTTTGGCATGAGAAAGATGGGCAATGGGCAAGCCCTAGGCTGGACTGCTTCAGCATTCCCCTGGTACGAGCACAGCTATGACACCATAAAAGCAAGCCCACATCCACATCTGTTTCCACCAAGCAGCTTTCTCTGTTGCAAAAAACAGGCATGGTTTTCAAAAAGAAAAGCAATTTGGGGCTGCCCTGTCCAAACACCTGCACAGCTTTTCCGCACAGCTCCTGCCTGCCTAATCCTCTCTCCAGGACCTGTGCTCACACTGGACAGGTGGTGGGTTTGGACTCACTGTGCAGCTGAAGGGAAGTCCTCAGCAGCCTCCTCCCAAACTGGGAGCCTGAAACTTTGGCCCCTCGGGACCTTAAGACAGAACGGCTCCACAGATGATGTCATTTGAGGGAAGGTTTACCACACACGTCATTTCTGACCTGTCACCTTGCCAAAGATCATAACGAACCCAGCACAGGAGATAATCAGGATGAAAGTATCAAACAACTTGTTTCTTAGCAATAAAAGCTGATCGAGGGTTACAGTTGCAGGGCTGCCTGAATTGCCATAAAGCGAAGTGATAACGCATAAACTCGGCTATAATCAAGGACCAACACAGCAGAAATCTTTAAAACTCCACGTATCACAAGTTCTTTAGCCTTTCTTCTGTACTTACTGGTGGGCATTGTGCAAGTTTATCAGCTGCCACCAACTGAACATTCAAGTGTTTACTTTGTGACTTTCCTCTAGATTTAATCAGTCGCTGCAAAACCTGACGGAGGAAAAGAGGAAAATGTGAGTTTAAGAATAACATATCTCCATAAAGCTCAGACTGACACCCCACAGGAGGATTACCAAGCTCAGAAGCTCTCCACTATGTTTAACAAAACAGATAAAATCTTGTCCTTGAATCTAAGTACAAACCTTTCTGATAACCTCCCTGGAAGCTGTGCCTATTTCCCTCCGCATCATGTTTGATCCCTTGAAATATTTCAAATGCAGTGTGAATGGTGATTTTGCTTTATTCTGCTTTAAGTAATAGGTTATTTTTGACAAATGTAATCTTCTAGAGGACCACAAAAATTACACAGAATTATACTGGATTGCTGGATTGACTGCAGCACAAGAGTAGCCACCTGTTAATTAACGATATAACTTTACCTTTTCTTTTTTTTTTTTTCCCCTTCCACTGTGTTCATTACTAGGATTTAAGGGGTGGAAAAGGTATGAATCCTAAACTATTTCTCTGTAAAGTTTCAAAGAAAACGACAGGATCATAGGACAACAGAGTATTTTTTAAGTCAGAATGACCTGTGCCAACCCCTCACCTCAAGTTAGGTCAGCTGGAGCCCTCGGGCTCTGACCCAGCTGAGTTCTGAACATTTCCAAGGAGATCCCACCACCCCTCTGAGCCAGGACTGACCCATCTTCGCCCAGCATGTGGCTGATTCTCTGCTGCAGGGGCACACTGCTCCCTCCTGCCCGAAGCGTTCCCCACCCAGACCCCCGGGGTCCCTGGCTGCGGAGCTGCTCCCCGGCCCAGGGGCAGGGCTGGGAACTGGCCTTTGCTGAACTTCACGAGGTGTCTGACGGCTCATTCCTCCAGCCTGCCAAGGGCCCTCTAAACAGCCCTGCCCTCGGGCACATTAACCTGCCCCAGAATCTGCAACTCTGTACATTAGCAAAAATGTTAGTGGCCCCACTACAGATCCCCAAGTGACACCACTGGTATCTCGCTGCCAGCTGGACGTTGTACCTCTGACAGCACCCTGAACCAGCAACCTGTCCCACCTTTCACCTCTCTTACAGCCCACACTTACCCAGCCCGTAACTCACCAATCTGCCCACTACAAGGAGACCATATCAAAGCCTTGCTAAAGGCTAACAACAGCCACTGCTCTTCCCCTGTCCGCCGGGGTCATAAGCTCATGACAGAAGGCAGACAGGACGGTCAGGCATGATCTGCCCTCGGCAAATCCCTGCTGGCTGCTCCCAATCCCCTTCTTGTCCTGCATGTGGAACAGCTTCCCAGAGGATTTGCTCCACACCCTTCCCAGGGACTGAGGTGAGACTGACTGGCCTGTAGTTCCCCAGATCCTCCTTCTTACCCTTCTGGAGAACATGTCACATCTGCCTTTGCCCAGTTATCAGGAACCTTCCCAGATCACTGTGAGCTTTAAAAAGTAACAGAAAGCAGCTCTGCAATGCCATGAGGCTGCTCCTTCAGAGGAATCTCATCTGGTCCCTTGGTCTTGCCTGCGTCCACTTAGGTGGTCTCCAGACCAACCTTCTGCTACTGCAGGTCCCTGCCACACACCGCCATGGGCCCACACTTTTCTTAGCTTCCCTTCTGCTTGCCACGTTCTTACAGAGCCCTTTTTGTTACCATCAAGATCTCTTGGCAGTTCTAGCTCCAGCTGAACTCTGGCTTGCCTAACTCCCCCCCCTGCAGGGGTATTCCTCCCAGGACACTTGTCCTTGCATCCATCTTCCACGTGTCTCCTTCCTGTGTCTGAGCTCAGGCTGTTCCCTGTTCACCCACACTGCTCCTGCCCAGCTCCACGCAGGAACAGATCGTTCTTGTGCCTGGGGGAAGCTGCCCACAAAGATCACACAGCTCTCCCGAGCTTCTCTGTTATCCAAGACAGTCTTCTACAGGATCCTGATGAACATGTCCCTCAACAAAGCAGTTCTAGGGTCCAGGTCTGCATTTCTATTTGTACTGCTCACTTCTCTCAGGATCTTAAATTCCACCATCTCATGGTTGCTGCAGCCAAGACTGTCCAGGCCCTTCCCTCCCCTGTAGCAAGTCGAGCAGAACCTCCCTGATCAAGAACTGGCGCAGGGCGCTCTGCAGACATCCCTGATGGGTCCCCAGGTGCTGGGCAGCCTCCCCACCATCGCTGTGTGGATTCTGCGAGACCCAGAGTCTCTGTCATGACCCCCAGCCCCGCACTAACAGCCGCAGCAGGGTCCGTGCTGCGCTCCTGAGCGACGGTCACACTCCAGGAGCTGCCCAGCACCCTGGGGAAACAGGTCCAGCCCCAGCTGTGGGTGCTGTACTGGTACACCCAGGGGGAAGCCACAGAGAAAAGCAGACAGGTTTTGTCTGTGATCAACAGACAACCATCATTAATTGGGAAGTGGGCAGAGGGCTGGTGTCTTCGCTGAAGCTCAGGCGATGGTTTGGGCTTGGAAAAGGACAACCCAGGAGTAGAGCTGTGCTGGGGAAGGGGGGCTGCAAAGGCACTGCCAAGGGGAACTGATAGCTACAGAAAGAATTTGCTCCTCAGGAATTTTTTTGTTTAACGAAGGGTGCCTCATCTAAGGCTCAGCCTGAGGCTAGGTTAAGGTTTAGGGAAAAAAAAAAAAAAAGACAACTGCATCACACATTCCCTTGTCAAAGCCCTTGACTTAAAAATTTTACTGTTTTTCCCTTCACCTCACTCTTAATTTCTCCACGTGCAGATATCACACCACTCGCTCCCACACTGCCCTCCGGGTCCCTCTCAAATGCACATTGTAAGGGTGATACACATTACCTTTGGAGAAGACACTTTAACATGGACAATAATTGGTGCTAAAGATGTCTTGATAAGTTGTGCAGGGTGATTGATAGTGTCTGCATCTAGGACAACCAGTTGTAAGGACCTTGCCAGCTCAAAGATTCTCTCAATTTCACTCTGTACTTCAGCTAGTAAAGGAAAACAGAACAGGTGAAAGGCATTCAGCCCCAGCATCACTCAGACAAAAATATCATCACCCATTTATTGTCATAGACTCTATACATTCAGTATATGAACTCCATAGGCGAATTAATGTAATTTCCATTAAATAACCTATTACTCAAGGCAATTTTAAAAGTAAGTATTACCTTTGAGACAATTCTGTTGCCTGAAAATACATCTGTACTGTGTTCCTTTATAATATCTGCATATATAAACATTGGGTACAATTAAATGCATGTTTCTATTACCACAAAACAGACTTAAGCATATTTTACAAATCTGCTAAATAGCTTAGGAGTCATAAGACTTTTTATTTTAGACAGCAAGTCTTAAAACTTTTTTTTGTTCTCCGGTTGTAATTCTGATGTAACTTAAACAAGAGCCTGTATGAAAGCAGAACAGTGACCTCCTAATTCTGTAACCACAAAAAACTGTTTATGTTTAATAATTGACAGGGGACTATTTAAAAAGACACCAATGGCAACGTTCACACAAAAGCATTTTCGTCTGAAGAAAAAGGAGAGATTTATTTCCATGTAAATTTTATTTCTGATATTCATTTTCTTACCCTTCTTAATGATCCACATGCATGTGATGAATTTTAAACAGATAAACTCAGCACAAATTGAAGCCTGTAAGTTATACCACCAAAGCACAAAAGAGCTGTATGTCAGCAACTCACATGCATTTAATTTGCCTAAGAGCTGTTCCACAGCACAATGCATGGTCACAGGCACGGGAAGATTTAGCACTCACTTTGACAGCACGTAATTTTGGGGTGCCTACTCCTGTACTAGAACACCAACTAGAAGTGAAGTGTCCTACGACCTATACCTGCAGTTCAAACAGTCACTCAGGGTATTAGAGAACTGGGTTTAAGAGCATTTTCCTCCTGAGAAGGCTGAAAACCAGCTCCTCCGACCGCCTAGGACAGTGTCCCAGAGACCAGGTTGTTGGCATGGGTATGCCACACACAACTTTCCACCCTTGTGAAAGAAATAAAAATTCATCAGGCCAGTGCAACCCAGCTGTCATGACACTGTGAAGAGAGGGTGGGAAGACCCAGAGTCTCACGGCTAGACAGCAAAATTAAGCTGTAGCTGTTCAACATTAAACACAAAAGCAGTCCCAGGAACATGTTTCCTTCTGGCTGGACCAGGTACAAGCTCTTTGGCACCCTGTGGTGTGGAGGTAAAGGCACAGGGCTGAGAAGAGGGAGCTGTGAGGCCAACTCCCCCCAGGAGGAAACAGCACTGAACCCACATTCTGACTGCAGGCCCCTAGCTCACAGCAACAACATTTGCTCTAGCCCAGGTAATCGCTTAACACGAGGCTACTACAGTACACTGTGCTCTCTTGCCCCTCCTCAGCCAGGAAAAAAATCATCTTCCATTTGGGTATGTGAAATTCAGAATGACACATTAAAATGCTGCAGACACATTTAAAAATTGCAGAACTGCTGACATCCTGAAGGCTGAAAGCCTGTCCCTTTCCTCCAGTATGTAACCGTGTTCAGAATTACATCTGTGCCAATGTCTTACCTAAACTGGATCTTGTGTTTGACCGCTCAATTATTGCCCTCTTGCTTGGATTATTTAGAACAGACCTCTTAGCAAGAGAAATGTCAGCTGTCACTCTAGTTATTGATATCCTATGAGCAAGAACACAGGACAGAACAAAAACACAGGAGTCAGATTTTCAGTGCACCGTGCATGATTTACAGCTACATTCCATTCCAAAGTACAAATACAATAAAATACCACTCAGACACGTTTTATGGCTGAGTTATGTCATCTTTAAAGAACAACTAAAAGGAAATGCTGCATAACTCTGAAGTATTTTCTATCTCCTACACTACTGTAGACTCTGGTGTATAGTTTCTGCTATTCTACTTAGTGCATTAGTTACCTTTTCTCCTCCCCTACTCACTTGTCTCCAACATGAATTTACACAGTACCAGAAATACTACAAGTTACTCCAGTCTTAGGGCACACAGAACACCACGGTCGTAACGGTAACAGCACTTCTCTTTGCAGAGACTTAAACCATTGATTAAACCTGACACTGCTGAAGGGAAGGAAGGGCCATGTTTGGACATTTGCGTGGAGCAGGTCTCTCCTCTCCGAGTGCCTGTGAGTCACTGAACAAAGGTGCTGGCTCTGGGAGGCTGCTCCTCCAACACGCACTCTTGCTTTTCCAGACGGGCACCTGGGCTGAATGACTTGGCTTCTGGCTGAACAGGAGAAAAGTGAGTTGAGCCATAGCTATCTGTACTGCTGGAGCCCCCCCTTTAACTTGAGGAAGGTGATGTTGTTACTTGATCTGTCAGTGAGCCGACAAGAGACAAAAGGTTCTAAAACAAAGACCACACAACCACTTCACATAAAATCCATTTAGGAGAACTGTGATGAGCCAAAGAGCCATGAATAATGAAAAGAAAGCAAGCTGAAAATGACTAGCAGCTGTTCCACAGAACCTAAGATTTCTGCAGTGAAATTATCAGATGGAGGGTTAAAAAGAAGTAAAAGTATTTTTCTACATAATACATAAATAAATTTATTGCCAGAAAATACAGTAGAGACCCAAAGTATAAATGAGTTTAAAAAAGAAATGGGAGAAATTAACAGATCACAGGTCTAGAGGTGATGACAGAACACGGTGATCCAGATCAGCCTCTGGCTCAGGGAGCTCCTGGCTGCTGGAATGACAGACACATAGCAGAGGAAGGACCACAAACGCTCCCCTCTGTGCCAGACACAAGAAGCATTTCATTCTTCCCGAGTAAGAAGTAATCTTAAGCATCACTGTTGCTGAAAGATGTTAAGAAAAAAATGTGCCTTTGCTGTGTTTTGTTTACAGGGTGTATAGAGCCAGGCTTGGTCTCTGCAGCAGCGACTAAACACAATGCATTTTGAGAACAATGCTGTAGCAGCCATCCCCTGAACGCCCCGTGCCAGCCAAGCTCTAGCAGGCTCCTTTCAGCAGGCCTGTACAACACACAGAGCCCTCCAGCCTTTCCTTTAGTTCAGCGGCCAGAAGAGGATGTTGCAGTTACAAAAGGAGGAGCTGACAGCAGCCAAATGTATTAAGAGGTAGGGAAAGACTCCTACTAGTTCACGTCTTGCTGAAGTCTTTTGAAAAGCTCCTCCTTGGACAGTCATTTCCTTTCTTTGTAATATGGACCTGTCACAAAATTGCAGAAGAGATGGAAAGAAAGAAAAAGAAAAAGAGAAGAGAGGGAGGAGAAAGACTGCAAAGGCACAGAAGTTGGCAGGAGGACCAAGAAGCAGCTGAGCTGCCTGAAAAGGAATTTAATGCCTTTTTCTAAAGTTACTCGGAGCTAAAGTCAATTGTATCAGCTTGCTTGTGGCATTTCACTTCTTCAGTGCTGAAATTTCATACTTCTAGTATTGCTAATGGCAAGAGGATTGCCAAAAAATACCTCACTCCAGGCAGAACTTCTCCCTTTTGCCCCTCTGTGCAGACCAAGGGCATGGCAGGGGAGAAGACAGAAAAGGCAAGGAGCAGTCCTGCCTCCCTTATCATTAAGCAGCCTAAACAGGTGCATCTAAGCGTGCTTCACATTTTCTTCTCTGTATTTAGGTGCTGCCGATCTTCAGGGAGCAGGCCTCAGCGGAGTATGTCCTCACATAGGGTGTAAAAATATACCTCATAAAGGATATATTTATAGCATTCATGTCGTGGCAACTGGAGATGACTTACCCCATCCAGTTGCTATGGTTTCCTACCAAAACCAACGACTCTGAGTTACCGTCGGCACGCGCAAAGCTGACAGACACATGTCAACAGCTGGAAGAGAACGTACACCTCATGCAAACGGGCACTGGGGCTGAGGCAGCGAGCTGCAGGGGAAGTCCCAGCGCTCAGAGCGGGGAGCCGAGGCACTGCCAGGGCGCACGAACAGCTCAGCAAAGTGACAAATTTAACTGCAGGCTGCCACGTACAGCGCTTCATCTGTCAGGTTTGAAATCCGTCACTACGTCGGTAGGATCTGCTAAAATCACTTGAGCTGGGCAATTAAAAATAGGGGAGGAGGTGAGATATTTTGCCCAGAAGTTGATGATTAAACATTTAAGCTGTTTATGGGTTAGTTCAGCACTGCCACCTCACTGCGCCCCAAAAGGCACCTTGACCATAAATCCCACTCCACTTCTGAACAGCAGGCTCTATTATTTTCCCTGTCCTAGTGCCAATGTTTTAGGTATTTTCAAACCTGACTTACTGTCATATACTAGCTAGCACAGTATAAGCTCTTCTTCACAGTTCAAATATACTGAACAAAGTCGGATGAAGGAAGGGCAGAATATCCAAGATGTAGCAGACACCTACGACTACTGACAAGCTCTGGTGGCAAGAAGAGATGCCACAGACCAAGCCTATGTTCCTAGCAAAGAAATCCAAATTATGCCTCTCACAGCTCAGCAGAAATACTCTCTGTGTTCCAACTGATCAAGATGAACCCTCCTTACAATTTCTGAAGTTCTGACACACTTATTTAAACTGCCTTTTAAAGTATTTTTGACTACCAAGAATATTTCAGAGTTGATTTTTCTTAGGTGTTGGTCTGAAGCACCGTTACTGCTCCCTGTTGAAATCTGATGTTTCTGATACTTATTTCAGAGCTAGGGTGCGATTAATTTTATTTAGAGAACATCCTGCTGTACAGGAGACTGGAACTTCACAAAAGGTGCTGGAATGAACCTATCCCAAATAAAGCAACTTCACAATAAAATCAAGAGGCATTTATATTTGCTGTCTGCACCCTTCAGTGGCTGGCTGAGCAGGTCCAGCAGTACACACATGTATCCAGTGGTTACGAAATTTTCATATGCCCAGAGGATTGTGAATAAAACTGTGCTTTTATGTGCCATCAGTCAGGCTTTCTCAACTGTTTCAGCTGCGAGAGGAACTGGACAGCTCTTTGAAACAAGAAAGCAATCCACTAGGGTTACTTTACCCAATGCGCAGGCAGCTGCGGCTGGGAGCTCGGAGGGAAGAGGGCCAGCAGCGAGCCAGGCTCTGCCCAAAGGGCTCTTCACCAGCTGGCACCAATTCCCCCCGACTCCTGGCTGAACAGGGGGCACAGCCTGCCTCCCAGGGCAACGTTAAAAACCTAAACCTGGTAGTGCCACCTTTGAAGATATTTTAGCCCTTCCCATGTGGCCCAGTCACCTTTCATCTAGATTCCTCCTGTAACTTCAGGCTGGTAAACCATCGAGGCAGAATTATTCTATTAAATTCAACAAATCCTACTACAGACGGAGCAGATATGAAGATACATGCACTTCTAGTAATACATTAGCTGGGTTCCACCCCACAGCTGGCTCCATTTCAGTGTTGATACAAAGCCAGTAAATCAGTTTTGTACATGCACCAATCTTCCTGCATTAAAAAAAAAATTACTAAAATGTTAGTAACACATGGAGTGGGAAAAAAGCATGAAAAGGACAGTATTTCTCACCTCCCATCAAACCTGTGCTTCAGGAAGTCAAAGAGAGCTTTCTGCATCATGTCTGTCACCTTTGCAGAGGTGAGGAAGATTGAGCAGGGAGGATTGACAGGGAGAAAAAGAAGTCAAAAGTAAGGAAAGAGGTAAGTAGAAGGTAAGGATACTGCCAACAATCAATACCTTTTATAGGTAGCAATCATTTAATTTTCATGCTCTTGGCAGCACGCTTTGTAATAAATACTTGCAAGTTTTCTGACTCATTCTCCAAAACGCAGAACGGAGGACGTGAGAGCTGTCACTCCTCCTGCTCTTGTCTTGACTTGCACCGAGACATCAGAGCACACCTCACCACCTTCCAGAGCAACACCATTCCCAACAGGCTTCAGCACATGGCAGGAGCATTAGGGGACTCTTCGGCTTGAATAGATCGTTTGGTTTTTTCCTACAGTAACCTTATTAGAACTAGCTTAAAACTTCAGACACAAGATTTATTGTGTTGGATGACTGATATTCTCAGAGGCCTACAAGCAGAAAAAATGAATGTTTCTGTTGTTGTACAAGGGAAAGCATCTGAGAGCAGCGCAGCCTCAACAGCTGTCATCTCCTTTATTGAGTGAGCTACTTGTCCTTTTTGGGACAACTCAGGCTGACACCTATTATCTCCCAGTCTAGACAGGAACTCAGTCAAAGCCCCCAGGCCTCTGGCAGTTTATTTCTCCTAGGTTGTCTTTCAAAACGGTTCTTAGGGAATTTAATCAAAAAAAAAAAAAAAAAAAAAAAAAAAAAAAAAGTCTACAGAATTTTCCCATGAAGGTTGCAAAGTAAGATCAATGCATTTCTGTTTTGTAGACCACTATTTGTAACCACAATTAATACTGTGACTGCGCTACCATTTATATGTTTAAGATGTCATGCTTATATTATTTTCTTAAACAAAGGTGGGGCAACATTATTTGTAGAGGTATGTTTGAACAAAAAGCCTCTATCCCCTCCGAACCTGAGAGTCCCCAGGCAAATTAATCTGTGGCGCAGCACCACAAAAGTCAACACGTGAAATTTACTCCTGTCAAAAACCATCACCATAAAATTAAAAGGCAGAGAATAGAACATGAAGTACCTAATTCCTGCTCTGCTGAACTACACTTTCAATCATTCTTACCTAAAAAACAGTGCAAGGACATATTATACTAATAATGGTGCCATGTTGTAATCTTCCAAAAAGAACCATTCCAATATGTTTAATAATATCCTATAAAGTACTAACAACATTAATTAAGCTAAATGAAGCGTATCTTTGATTTTATGTTCATGTTCATTTAGTTCCTAATTCAGCAAAACACTTAACAGATGGTTAAGTTCACCAAAATGCCCCTCTAAAAGCCTGTGCTCGTTTAGCACATGTTAAATGCTCATTTGAATCTGCAGCAGCCTTGTAAAATGGGCGTCCTGTTTATCTGTGCGTGTTACCGTACTTACTTCCATGTTAAACAGAAGCAAATCATTTAGAAGGGTTAAAGGTTTCTTTACATATATATTTCAATACGCTAATAATCTTTAAAAAAAAAAAGCCAAGGAAACATGCTGAAATAATAATCATCAATTCCCATATTCAGTTTCAGGTGCTGGACAACAAAACTGAACATTGCAACAGTGCAGCTATTTCATTTGCCAACACTGAGTTTCGTGGGAAGATGTAAAGTTTTTCTAAGTGAGAAAAGGAGAACAACGGGGAAGCTTCTTCAAAACGTTGCTAATTAAGTTCAAAGCATGTGCGAGTTTGACTAAACTCTTACATGTATACAGAAGTCTAGCTAGTGAATTTGACTGCTCCAACTTTCTCTTGTAGTGGACACATTCTCTTTTTCTTACTTGACTTAATCCAGAATGACCCTACTGAAAATAACAGATTGTGCACTGTGTTTAACGGAGTGAAATGGCCAACAGAGCTCCAGTGTACTTATGTTACCCACCCTTCAGCTGAGACATCACAAGCAACAGACACTGCTGCAAGGTAGAAAAAAAATATATCTATCAGCTGGTACTTCACCCAAACGGTGCAAAGTGCTAACTATGCTCTTCAATCTTAAGTCATATTTTTGACAATTATTTAAGCCAAGATCGCTTTTGCACTGGACCACACACTGAATGTACTGAGGAAGGTTATAATTAACAAAACAGTAATTGCCAATACCTGGAATACATACCTCATAGCCTTTCAGTGACGGACCCACCAAGACAACAGGTCTCATTGACGGTACCACATCATATGGGGGAACGTGTTCTGTCTAGGAGAAGAAAACAACCCTTCAAATCATTAACAAGAGAAGATCCCTATGAAAACCCTAGGAATTATGTATTAGAATTGACTAAAATAAAATGGAAACAAAAGTACTACTCACCACTTTCTGTTTCTGTTTTGCTAAAAGACCAAATGAGAACTTGGTTAAAACACACACACGGTGTATAACAACCATTAACACTTGCAAACACAAATCCCTTGTCAATGCACTTTTGATTTCTCTCAACACACCTCCCTTTTGGTCAGCCCTGTTTAAATTGGTCATTCATCCCATTCTGGGGCAGCTGCCACTTTTCCCAAGATTTTTTCCCAGTCCCTTAGCAACTACTGCATGTCTAGAACTAGATGTCTTTCTCCACCTCCGCACGCAAGCACTTTTCTGCAAAATGTCTTAATAAGTCAGCAAAGGGGGGAAACCTGCATTTTTCATATACGGTTTTTAAAATAGAAGTATTAGAAATAGCAAGAGTTTCCTTAAATAAAATTCTGTCTTACCCGTGGAAGTCGGTGTGGCTCGAAATGTGCCAGAAACCATTTCTCCAAGACTTGAAGAAGAATTTCCACTTGATTTCCTATGGTATCAGAAGAACCCCATTAACACCAAGCACCCAGAGATGCCAACACGTGAGGTTTTAGGCAGCAGTTATGAGAAAACACACGGTAAAGGAGAATCTTCACCCATATTCACTCTGCAAGAAAGCTTCCTCTGAAAGGAGAGGTGAAGAGCACCAGGCAGGGTCACAGGGGAACCAAAGTGTCTGTAATTAAGCCGACCTCCATGTCTGGAAGAGCTGGGTACAGGCTATGAGGGGAGAGCAGGCATCACTAGAGACTGAACAAAGCTTTTCTGTGATCTGCCCGTAGGCTGGGAAACACAGCAGCTCTAATCACAGCCGACTGCTAAACTCAGAGCCTAGCCCAGCCTGGCACGAAATCTCCCACCCAGCACCCCTCTGCCTTGCTGGGTCTCTCTGCCAGCATACACAACTAGCCAGACACATCTCCCGGGAGGGTCGGGATGAAAACTGTTGGTTTAAATGGCTTCTGTTGTGTAGCAACAGTGGTTTAAGTAGCTCCTTTCTCCATGGGCTGTACCTCCCTGCTTCCAGCCAGGCAGCGCTGCCCTACGTGATGTTCCCAGCAGGACTGCTGGTGCAGCCATCCCACAGCAGACTGGAACTGGTCTGGGGAGGGGGAAGATGCTCAGGTGAATCAGCTCTCATTGAGCTCAGGGCAGAAAGGAGAGTTCTGTTAAAGCAGCCTGACTACCACAGGTGACACAGTCCCAGGTCTTTAGCACAATATCTACAGTATTTTTCATTACGTGCAGACTGACCAGCAAGAGGACACTAGTCCCAGTCAGCATTTTCTCCTTGCTTTCCTGCCATATGCTCTCCAGGAGCAGGGATTGTTTACTCCTGGACTTAGCAAATCCTTCATAAACATACACTAGACCCTAGAAACCCTCTTTTAATAGACAACTTTTCACTGCCTTACTCTGACAAAACTAGAATTCTTCATCATGTCAGGCCTTGATATCACAGCTAGTCACAGCTTTTAAAGAAATCTTAAGGTACACATACTGTATGACTACATCTAACAAAGGCGCTCAAAAATATTTTATCGTTATACACTACTTTCAATTTTATCATACAAATCCAGAAGTGTCAGTACAGACTACTTAAAATCTTAAGAGATATCCTTTCGATATTTGCCCTGGCTCTGCCATACTTGATTTTATTCCTAATATTCTCCACAGGTGAGATCAGACATGACCAAGAACTGGTGATTCAGTGGAGTTATGCCCACTTACAGAAGCAGAGAATTTTTCTAATAGGCTGTATCTGTAACAGTATCCTAAATGCTCCGTTAGTGTCCATCTCTCTGAATTAGATAATCTTCCTTCTGTACATTGAGATACGCTGGCTTCCTCTGAAGCTATTTCAAAAGTATAAAAGCAATTTGGAAGAAGCACAGTTAATGCTGTTCAATCATTCTAAAAACATTTTCCCAGATGGTTTATACTTGAAATGATTTCTGACCCTGATTAAGTATATTAGTATGCCAATTCCCTGACAGTACTATAGAGGCTAAATTATGCTCCTTTAACTGCTATCTATTAGGTCCAGATTCAATTGGCTCACGTCTCTTTACTCTGCAGTACTAAAGATTTTGTTCTCCTTGTTATCTATGTGAACTTTTAAATTTTGCTTTCAATTAGTGGGAATAATATGCTAGTAATATTTAAAAAAAAAAAAAAAAAAGGGAAAAGTATTTGTGTTTTCAGCCAACAGAAGAGTGACTTCAGTGGCTAAACTGAGACTATAAGAAACCAGTTTTACTTCCTAGACCTGTGACCGTGTTTATATTTTTCCAGGGACTTGCAATCTCCAGCTCTAGCAGTGTGGAGACACAGAATGGTCAGGCTGGAAGAAGAAGAATCAAAGAAGTCCAACAACAAAGCTCACGTCTATAAAGTTTGAAAAGTCTTGCTTTGGCCAAAATGGACAGAAAAAAAACAGGAAGAAAAACCCCACAACATTAAGAAAGTAACAGCTGGGGAAAAAATCTGGCAGCCTTTGAGCACCCAGCTGACTTAAACCCATGGGGATGTAAAACTCTCTAGCCCTTCAGACATTTCTGTCGTTACCACTCATACTGTATTTCCTAAAGTCAATACACAGTTTTTTCTTGTTTTTCATCATCAATATCTAACACGTCTATTCTCTGCAAATATGCATTTTCATTTGGAATCCCAAATCAAACACTCTCTCCAAAACGCACTGCAATAAAAAAGAACCAAGTGACCTTTGAAAATACTGCCCGGTGTCAGAAATTATTTTAAAAGGTTACAGCATTCTTACCCTCCATGGAAACGTCCTCTCTTCTGCTCCTGTTGAATGCGGATATTCTCCAGTCTAAGCGGGCTTGGAATAAAGCCAATCTCGCAGCCCTCCTTCACCAGCCTTCCTATCCACCAGTCATTATTATATTTCTGGAACACAGAAAGGTTACTGGCTTCAGTTCAAAATGCTCCATGTCCAAAACTCCCTTATTTTGTTATCCACAATCCTTAACACTGGTCAACAAAACCCAACTCACACTGATGTCTGAATGCTGGTCAATCCCTGTGAATGTGACTTAAGTGAAAAGGTGTGAGGCAGTGTTTGGAGGGTTGACGTCCTCTTTGCAGCTGTAGAGTGGAAAGCGGCATCATCTGCAGCAGTACTGTCTTATCTCTGAACTGCCCCAACACATGCTCCATGTCACCAACTACGGTGACGAGTGTGACGGTGATTTAACCAGACAAACTGATTTCTGGTGCACCAAGGCCACCCAGCTTCCTCACAGCAGCCACAGAAAACGGTCAAATGTAAAAATAACATCTTCAGATCACCCCCAAGGTTCCTTGTAAACCATTATTGGTTCCTTATAAAATTTAATGGTCTCTCTAAACCTTGTAAACCACCATTACTGGTTCCTCGTAAAATTTAACAGTCTACACCAAAGATCATCATCACCACCACTGCTATTTTTCCTTTCCAGGTAATTGTACAGATGTTATTAACATGTTAGCCCTTTGTAAAAATCTTGTATGGTGGAGAAGCTCTATAAACACCACTCCAGAAACTGAACTAAGGACAGAGCAACCTAAGACAACATAGAAAACTTGTCAGCTCCTGCAATGAACCAAACCCACACCTGGTTAATGCCACGGCAGAGCTCTAATACAAATGAGGCTTTTACAGAGCTGCTGCCCAGCAGCGGCGGAACTCTTTGGAGGCATACACTTTTAAATGTAGGACAGTTGAAGAAAAAAGCCACTTTTAGGAAGAAACTTTAATATATATCTGAAAGTATAAAATTTAATTTTATCATTATCCTTTAGTAACATATGTTTTTCTGCATTATTGAAAGTCTGGCCTAACTCTAATGATGGAAAGATGAAAAGTAGTATCAGCGGATGTCGTAGTGGAAAAGGATTTGTTGTTCTTGGCTGCCAGCAGCACTTCTGAATAAAAATATCTGAAAACCTTATACTCTGCTATGCTTCATTAGGCACCTCAGTGTTCAAAAGAAACATTACTTTTGACAACCGACTTTCAAGTCATTAAGACCAGCACGAGTGTACCAATTTTGTTTGCATGCCTTGAGGAAAAAGTTATCACAGTCTTAAAAATGATCAGTTTTCTTGGCTCCATATCGTAAGTTCTTGCAGAAGCACATAAATACCATGTCCTAGTTGTCAAAGGTACAATGATGCCTGACTGAAGTCTCTCAAACATACGGAGCCTCAGCATCTTTGAAAAATAAATTAGCCTTTTTCTTAACCCATATGTACACACAGATATTACTATATACAGCTAAGGGAAATGCTATCCTTATACCCTCATCTTGAAAACCTCTTCTCTTTATATAGCTGTTATTTATGCAAGAGGTTCCATTATTCTATCATTTCAATGTTTTAAGTATCTATTCTTCATGCTGTTATGACCCCGATTCAGACAATGTCAGTAAGCAAAGCTTTATTTTAAATATGTTGCTTCTGCTTAAGTCAACAGAACACTGTACGTTCTTTAAAATAGACAAATACCTCAGGATCTAGCATTCTGCTGCTGTAAATCAGTGAAATCAATTGATGGATTTCAACCACTGTAAAACCTGAGTCCCATGAACATTACCCATTCTATTTTGGTTCTAAACGTCTGGCTTGAACATGGGAATCTTTCTTCCATTAGCAGGTCATGGACCTCTGAGTGATGCCTCTAGACAGGAGATCAGAATCAGCGTTATGCTGAGAATATCTGAACAATACAAATGCTAACGATGCAGCAAGGAACGCCTGGGCTATTTGCATTAGGTCATTACCTCCCATATGTTATCCTTTGCATTCAGCATGTGGGAGGACTACAGTTCATTCCTATTGGTTGCATTGTCAGTAATTGTTGTCACCTCATCTTTTAAGTAAGCACATAATGTATAGTCTTGTAGGAGACCGATGAGACATACAGGACACATTCTCAATATAGCAACTCATCAGTTACTGCTGATGTTTCATCCTGTCAGCAGGGTGACCTTACTTCTTTACCTAGTTTAGCACTATTCGAAAATCTGGAACCAGGCTTGTTCTAGCCCAAGCAAGCAAAACACTGAAAAACAAATTCTGCAAAGCCTTCTCTTCCATGCAGCTAGGTTCCAGTATGGGGAATCATTCCTGAAATCCTACAGTTACAGCCACAGCTTCAGGCAAGCTGAAGGTTTCAGCGTTAACAAAGGAACTGTGCCAAACCCTTAGAAGAGCTGACAAGTACCAGTAAGGCAGATGGCTTACAGTTCAGGGGCTGAGCGATCCCGGCCATTTAGATCTTGGAAGAACACTCAGAGAATGCCAAGACTTGGGACACTTCTCTGGGAAAATGTACAGGGCAGAACGATAGGAGGTTAGTATATTAAATTCAATCACTGGCCTGACAATTAAGGTAGCCACATCCTAGGAAAACCAAGATCAAATATTTGTTTTAATGGTGATGCACAGTTACCCAAACTAACTTACACAGGACAACATACACTAGAAAAATAGTATGTCAGGTAGAGATATTTCTGGTGTGCGTGGGGAAACACAGGGGAGGGCAGCTGAGAAAGGGAGCTGGGTGCTGTACTGGATGCAGCTGTCTGCATTCAACTGTGAGTGCCAGCAAATGTCCTTTTCCTGACAGGAAGCAGGTTTAGGAAGTGGCGTACACCAAGGGAGTTGAGGTGTGGTGCTAGACAGAACAGAGCACATTCCTGGGGAACCAAGAGGAGAGGCAAGCAAACCTGCATGCAGAGATAGGAGATTCAGTGCCCCACTTCCTCAGCAGGGGCTTTAAGCACTGCTCCACATGAATACTTAAAAAAAAAAAAAAAGCAGCACACAAAATAATCAAACAAAAAAATCCAAATCAAAATTCTATCTCTTTGTAGCAAATTGAGAAAATGGAACCAGGGAATCAACTGCCTCTCCCGTGTCCTTCTCAGGGAGAAAGAATTTAAATCAACCCCCCCTGATCTGCCACCAATCTCTGTCTCTAGAGGTGCAGAAGCAGGTGTTTTCCTCCCAAATGTGCTCAGTCTAAGGGAGATTGGTGCTCTGAAGCGATGAAGGACACATGTTGAAAGAAAGAGACAAATGAGTACTGAACACCCTAAAATAAACCCAGAATGCAGAGATGAAAAAACGTTTTTGCAAGCTGCAAGCCTATGTAGAAAATCTACAAAACAACAGGGGTTTATGCAAATTTGGAGGGCTCACTTCAGATGAAGAATTGCAGAAAATATGCTCAACTTGCAATAAAATGTATTTTTCTCTACCAAAGCCATACTCAGGGCCCATTTATTCACATTCCTTTTTTCTTACTTTCGTATCTGTCCTATTCAATATTTTATTTTCTTATTGTATTATCCTAAGTTTTATTTCCTCCCTTACAAGCCTATCTGGTGCTTTATGAAGACCTGGTGTAACCTGGTGCTACTCTACTTTCTGACCAATAGAATCCCTTTCATTACATAACCTCTGATCCATCACAAACTTCATTTGATGAAAAGAATCTGAATCCACCATGTTGAAGGGGATGTAAAACATAACAAGATGCTATTTCCTTCCTGTGACATGAAAATTCAACAATTAGTCAGTAATGTCAAGCATTAAAAAAGTGCAAAATAATCACTCCAGGGTGCTGGAACTCTAAAAAGACTAAAGTACCACCACATCATCGCTAATCAGATGGTTGTGCTGTGCTCTCCTGCCTCCACTCAGTTCTCGGCTCTCTTTTTAATCTGGAATGGCTCAGCCTCGAGTTTTCACATCGTAGTCCTTGGCATGTATGAAGATTCCTTTTCACATTCCCTTTTACCACTTTGTGGTTTTACCTCTTTAATGTGTAGGAAGTCCTTGGCATCAAAAGAGATGGCAGTGCTCGGGACAGGAACATCTTCATCCAGAGCTCCACAGTAACTCACATTAGTCTTAACAGCAAATGCTACTGGTTTGGACTACAAAGAGAAACACACATCACAAACAGTGGCAACTTTTCTGAATCAAGAATTGTACCCAATTACCAAAAACCTAACTGAGGACATTTACCAAATACATCAAAATTCAGACCTAATAATTTCACACAAGCCCGCAGAGTTCAGCTCCCTAGAGTCTAGAAGATCCCCATTTATACGAGAATATTTACACTATCTTCCCCCAAACATCTTGTCTGCAGATAACCTGACTCAATTGCCAAACTATTTCGAAAGCTGGCATCATCACTATAAACCAAAAGTATCAATTTTAACACTAGGCCAAAGATAAATGCCACATAACTTAGTTATTACTAAAGTTGAAAAGAACACACCTTTGCCCTTTCAAGTTGGATAGCTGCTTGTTGTTCTCTTTCTTGGCGGATTGCTTCCCTATCTTCTTCCAAAGAGACATCAGAGTCTGAGGGTCTGCTTGTGTACGAATCTGCTGAGCCCTGAAATGAAATTCATGTCACTAAGAAAACAGATGGAAGAAACAGAAAACCCCTCCCCAGTCAGATTCATAAAATACTTTAAAAATATTTGTTTCTTAGTTTTTTTGAGTGGCTTTTACATATTGTTGCTAGTGCAGAAATTCCACAGTACTTAGCAGAGAAATAACCTGACTTTACCAATCAGGCGCACTAAGCTAAAGACAAAAATCCCAAGAAAAACCTCTCTGCCCACTTTCAAAGAATCTCTCCACTTTCTTACTGACACAGTGAAATACAGCTCAGTTGTGGGCACTATCCAGCAATCTTTATAATCTCTAAATCCTGCCTGACAACCTTAGATTCAAGACTGTCAAGGGCTAGGTCACATCAAATATAATTAAGGTATTATAAAGCTTGGTTAGAATGACCCCTCCCTGTAAATACAGGACCATTGTATAAGTACTTCCCTCCCCACCGTGGGTGCCACTCACATAAAGCTTTGTTCTGTGCTTCAGGAGGGAAAAAGTGGCAAAAGTCACATTATTAACAGCTACTCACCAGGGCAACACAAAAGCTATACAATGATATGAAACGAAAACAGACACACGAGCAGAAGCAGAATACAACAGTCTATGAGGGAGGAAATAAGGCACTGCCAGTTATGATTTTTTTTTTGTCTGGGATGTTTTTCAGGGTGTCTGGGAACATCTGAAGCAAGCAGTGGCTCCTCTTCCGTTTCTAAAGCAACCTGACTCCAGTGTCCTACACAGCTGGTCTTTATGTTCGCATGGAGCCAACTGAAAGACAGGGGTTTAATCTTCCAAACCAGCTAAGATAAGGTAAAGGGAATGCTTACTCATGATGAATCTGAACTACCGGTCCCCCTCTCTCCAAACCTCAAACACAGGCTTGAGCCAGAAGTCTAACAAGACTAGGACTCAAACCTGGACTGATGGAGGTGTGTGCAACTGGGCATTCAGGCAAAAGGTCAAGTAAATTTTCACTACTTTTTCCTACAGAGATTTCAAAATCCTCAAGTCTAGCTCTAACTTTCCACTCAAGGGAAACGTATGTCCTTTGCTGAGCCATTTGCCAAGCAAATGGAATTTTTACTAATAAATTAATACATCTGTCTGGTGAATGATGGCCTGTGCTTAAGCCAGACTGCAGCCTTGCAAGATCCTGTTCTGTTCAGTACAGAATTTGACTAATTGGTGTTTGGGTCATTAGCCTGCTCCCAGCTCTGTGTGTCAAGCTCCCCAGCCTGACGCTCTGCACTGGCTGGGAATGCCTGCTATGAAGGGTGGTCTATAAACTTTAGCATAAATTGTTACATATAGATTGCATTGTAGTCTTTTTAACCTACAGATTTTGCATGTCCTAGGAAAAATAACTACACAAAAAGACTCATAAAAAAAGAGGAGTTCAAAACCATGAGGATAATGCAGAGCTGCAGAAGGATCCAGCCCCAGGACTGTACTTGGCAGGAGGAATATACAGCAGCGTATGACCACTGCTAAGAGACACTATTTCTGTTTTTAAATAAGGGAAGGGAGTCATGTGCCAGACTACATATGCTGTATTGTATTCTATAACCAGTGTAACAAATAATTTCCAAGTCATCACATTTCTAGCAACATATATCTTATATATCTCTATATAGCTCTAAAATCTGTAACTGTAACACGTGTTCCAAAAGAGCCATTCTACAGATCATGTCTTCCATTTTTTTCCTGCTTAAATAGATTTATATCCCGTAGCACTGGGACATAATATATTCTAGGTAATCTACACAGAAGTCAATATTCCTACTCTCCATGTAAAGTAACATGTTCTTAAATATTAATGTGAATACACATCCATTAGAAGAGTTCTGGCGATGAACCACTGAGGAGCATATGCTCTCCTTGTCACATACTCCTAACTTGGCCGTAAGCACGCTACCGTCACCAGGGAGGGCACATTTCCTCTGTATCAGGAACAGGATTCACCCAACATGAGCTAACACACAGCTTATGATCTTAGGAGGCCAGAAAAAGCCCTTCCCGGGAGAGCCGGCCACCACGCACCCCAAAGGTGAGCCAGCTATCTGCAGACACACACATTTGGGGTCCCGAGCTGGAACAAGGCTAACATCAAGAGGCTGACAAACCAGCATTAGCTGATGGCAGCAGCACAAGTTCCTCCTAGCCTAGAAAAGAGACATGCTGCTCTTCCTTCTGCTTCCTTTGGGATGTAGCAGAGACCAGGGAACTCACCAGCACTTGGCTGGGTGACACCAAAGACACCTCCCGGGCTGCTCAGTGGCTGCCAGTTATTCCTCTCTCCCCATCTCCGAGGCAAGATGAAAACTTCAGCTACCAAATACATCACCACCAGAGGCATGAGAACACTTCTCCCCTGATCAAAAGTGAGAGTGCGAAGCATGTCAACTCATCACACCTAGGCAAAATGGGCAGCAGGAAACTCCCTGCCCAGCTGGCTGCTCCAAACCCACATCTGTTCAGCAACTGAAGGGGAAGTCTATCAGTGGGAGACTGAATTTATGTGGTCAGACACAGTCCTAAAATTATATATAGCCTGTCCTCCGCACCAGAGCCCGCATTGTTCAAAGCAGTGGAAAAAAAAGGAAAAGGAACGGGGGGGGGGGAAACGGGGGGGGAAACGAGGGGGGAAACGTAAAAAGAAAAGAAAAAACCCCAACAGACCAGAAGTTGCAAAGACAGACCAACTTTTGGGAGAGAAGAGTTTATCATTTATTGTCCACTAAACACTCTGAAGACACAAAATGCTTTATAGCTGCTGATCATCACATTTTTTACTTAGACAACAAAGCTTCAATAGCAGCTGAAAGGAAGAAGGGAAAGTAATCACACTCTCCAAATAATAAATCAAAAGGCATAATAATAATAAATACAAATCATATCCTGCAGTAGGAATGGGCTTCTCTCCAAGATGTTATTCCTACCACATCCTGGCATGCCCGAAGCCTGTCACAAAGCCACTCCTGCTGTCATTGAGAGCAGCAGACACTTCCTCACCCACGTGCTCCCTGACTGTGTCATTTCCCCCTTCATTTTCTAGGTACCCAAAGGTGTAGGAGAACAAGGCACAGAACACATCGCCGACAGGACAGATAACAGCACCATGCACGTAGGTAGACTGGAGAAATCATCTGTATGGGGAATCGGTGAACAGAACGTGTACAGGCTCATGTCTATTTATTCAAGTCCTCTGGATGTGATTCAGTGTGGCTCTGGAAGGCAATTTAATAGAAACAGATACCTATGCTGAATGCACAGTTTCCCATAATGGCTTTTAGTGGTGTATTTTTGAGCACTGACCTATTTAATGCTGTCAGAACAAAGTAGTCTTAACCAAAGCAGCTGATACTGCAAGGCTACCCCAGGCTGCTCCTCAATGCTAATCACTCCTGTATGCCAAATGATATGGGTTGGTACAATCACACCCGCATGATCCCTCCTCTTGCAGGTTATGCCAAATAGCGAGGGGCTTATCGGAAAGATGCAGCCCCAGGACCGGTTCTCACACGATGCCGAACTGCAGCACCACACTGAAAACAAGGCAGGATTCCACAAATAGTGGCAAGATGGACAGGAAAAGCAGTCCAAGGTAATGAAAACAGGTGGTCTGGAACATCCCATAAACATGGGCTGAGCAACGCAAGGAGTGGCTGAGGGAACTGGGGGGTTCAGTCTGGAGAAGAGGAGGCTGAGGGGAGACCTCCTGGCCCTCGGCAACTCCCTGCCAGGAGGGGGCAGAGAGGGGGGATGAGTCTCTGGAGCCAAGGCCCCAGCGCCAGGCCCTGAGGGAATGGCCTCAAGCTGCCCCGGGCAGGGTCAGGCTGGCTCTGAGGAAGGATTTCTGTGCAGAAGGGGCTGTTGGGCGTTGGAATGGGCTGCCCAGGGCAGAGGGGAGTCCCCGGGATTCCTGGAGGGGTTGAAGAGTCGGGCTGAGCCAGCGCTGAGGGATCTGGGGGAGTTGGGAACGGTCAGGGGGAGGGTCATGGTGGGGCTGGAGGAGCTGCAGGGGCTTTTCCAACCTCGGTGATTCTGTGAGTGTCCACATTCAGCTAGAGCAGGAGACCAGGCAAGACTAAGGTTTACTTTTCTCAGCTCCACCACTGCCCCACACTGAGCAAGACTACAAGGCCTGTCGGGTACACACATGCACCCTCAGAAGCCACCTTGCTGCCGTCCCGGTCACCTCTCGTGCTTCTGTTAGCACCACCCTCCATTTCTGTGCTCTGCATTCCCCAGCCAAGAGCTCTGGAGTTACAGTGGGCTTCTGGCAGCAGCGACTTCTCACAAAACAGGGCCTCAGCATCTGAGTAAGGCTTCTGGGAACTACTTAACACAAGCACTCCATTAATTAAAAATAACCCTTATTATATCCTCAGAAGTCCAGCTTCTGACTATTTTTTAAAACCCTGTGCAGACAAAAGCATCACTTCTTGTATTTCATTTTTGGTTCTGTTCAAAATTTTTGAATGAAGATGAGAATACTGACAGCAATATTGTGCAACGTTGACAGAATATTGTGCAACAAGCCAACACAAACCCTTATGCCTGTATAGCACCAAGTGCAATAAAGTTCTGGACTGACAGCTTATATTTGTTGAAACTGCAATAAATGTGGTGATATTAAATACTATGGTGCACCTGTGCTCTTCTCACAGCTGGGAAAGTATAACTGACTGCCTGACCACACAATGAAAACCAAATTATGGCAGTTATCTTAGGGAAGTGAGAAGAAAGAGGAAAGAAGGCATTCCCTATCTTTTTATGTACCAAAACTTTACCAAAAAGACCCTTTAACTTCTTTATTTTCATATGGCTTAGAGCAGCAAGCTGATAATTTGGGGTGTATTGCATATGCCCATAGTTTCACATTTGCACACAGTATTCAAGCACCAATTAACACGCTGTTACTCAACCTCACAAACCCCTAGGAGACAGAAGAACTTGGTGAAGTGGGAGCATATGCAATGAGTTCAAGTG